TGGGCTTTGCTACAAAATCCCATCCATTTGTGGTTTGATTCATCAAATGTGACCAGTTGATGGCTCCAAACGTCATTCTGTATCACTGATATTTCAATTACTTTTGGAAATCCTGGTCCATAGTGTCCTAGGGGTAGAGAAACTTACATGGCAGCTAGGACACATTACACAGTCTTATCGTATCTTAGTCGAGGCAAAATGTTTTGGGGTCAGACAAAAAAGGCAGAGTAGCATATCCCAGTGAGGAATAAGTAGCATCCAGTAGCCAAGGAGGGCCCCTAGACATTGTGACACTTTGGTTGTAGGAATACCATATGCTTCTTGCCCTGTACATTAGAAGGGATATCTCAATAGTACCACATCAATGAACCTATGGAAATTTTACCAAAATGGAAGGCCCATGAATATTTATAGGATTTATTCTTTCTTTCTGTCATGCATGTGTCTTACTAATATGCCTAGTAGTTCCTACTTTCTCTTCACCATGTCTGATCATCGTATCAATGTGCCATTTGACAATGAAGATTCAGTCATTGCCCAAAAGAGTGATTATTTCTCCTTTTATGGACTCAATCACAGGTTTATGGCCATGGTTTCCTGTGGAAAACTCTGAAATGTATCAGGGCCCATACTCATCTAACATTGGCCTCCCATTTATATAAGTGAATGTGGATTTGTAAACTGGACATGTCTTGGAATTGATTTGAGAGCTGTGACAATGTTAGGTGGTTGCAGTTAGAGTTCTCTTCCCCTGCAATAGAACTCTTCTGCCAATACAAACCCAGTGACAGTGTCATAGATTTCCCATCAATTTATTTACTATGATGAACAAGGTGAAGTTCAGCCCTGCAAAGTGATTGACCTCATCTTCTTCTTTCCTTCTTCTTTTTTTTTTTTTTTTTTTTCTGAGACGGAGTCTCGCTCTGTCACCCAGGCTGGAGTGCAGTGGCGTGATCTTGGCTCACTGCAAGCTCTGCCTTCCGGGTTCACATCATTCTCCTGCCTCAGCCACCCAAGTAGCTGGGACTACAGGCACATGCTACCACACTTGGCTAATTTTTTTGTATTTTTAGTAAAGACAGGGTTTCACCATGTTAGCCAGGATGGTCTCGATCTTGTGATACGCCCTACTCGGCCTCCCAAAGTGCTGGGATTACAGGCGTGAGCCACGGTGCCTGGCCTTCTTTCCTAATTTCTGAAGCCCCAGTAGGAGCATCCAGGAAATATACTATACTGAAAAGTTTGTCTACTGTGTCCTAAACTAACAAATTCATGGTAACCAGAATCATTCCAATAGGCATTTTATTAGGATTATTCAATATGATATTTGGCATATTATCACACCGTGCCTTTGACAACCAGTTCCCTATGTTGCACTGGAAATAAAGTCAATAGTGCTCTTAAATTTAGTAAGAGTAGAAATCCAATTCTAGAAAACACAATCAATTCAGAAAACTCATCCTTAGGGTGCTCTTCCTCTGGAAGTTCTTGTGGGGCAAAATGTCTTTTGGTCAGCATTCAACCAGAGAAACAGAATCAGTATGACATATACAAGCAATTATTGCAAGGAACTCTCCTTTGGCACTGTGGATTTGGCTAAGTCTATTAGTCTGTTCTCACACTGCTATAAAGAACTACCTGGCCAGGTGCAGTGGCTCACACCTGTAATCCCAGCACTTTGGGAGGCCAAGGCAGGTGGATTACCTAAGGTCAGGAGTTTGAGACCAGCCTGGCCAACATAGTGAAATCTCGTCTCTACAAAGAATACAAAAATTAGCTGGGCATGGTGGCACACATCTGTAATCCCAGCTACTCGGGAGTCTGAGGCAGAAGAATTGCTTGAACCTGGGAGGCGAAAGTTGCAGTGAGCCGAGATCACACCACTGCACTCTAGCCTGGGTAACAGAGCAAGACTCCGTCTCAAAAAAAAAAAAAAAAAAGAACTACCTGAGACTGGGTAATTTATGAAAAAAAGAGGTTTAATTGACTCACAGTTCTGCAGGCTGTACAGGAAGCGTGGCTACGAGGCCTTAGGAAATTTACAATCATGATGGAAAGTGAAAGGGAAGCCGGCATATCTTACCATGGCAGAGCAGGAGAGAATGAGAGCAGGAGGAGGTGCTACACACTTTTAAAACAAGCAGATCTCATGAGAATTCCATCAAAAGACAGCACTAGGGGGATGATGCTAAATCATTAGAAACCACCCCCATGATCCAGTCACCTCCCACCAGGCCCCACCTCCAACACTCAGGATCACAATTCAACATGAGATTTGGGTAGAGACACAGAGTCAAACCACATCACTAAGCAATTCCAAAATGCATATGGCTGGCCACCAGAAAGGTGAAGATGGAACTCTAACCCATGAGAGGAAGATGCCACCAGCAGGTGTGGTATTTTTTCATTCAGAGAAGCTTCAGCTCTATTCTAAAGGATCTTCAAGTGATGGATCAGGCCTACCTGTATTTAGCATAATATCCCTACTCAAACCAACTGATTATGGGCTGAATATCTACAAAATACCATCACAATGTCTATATTAGTGCTTGATTAAATAACTAGGGACTATAGTCTATGCACTATAAATCCATTAAAATCAATTGTCACACAGATCTTCATCAGCAGAAAACTGCCTTTTGAGTTTTTCAAAAATTTTTTGTATCTTTTCCTCAGAATCTACAGAAAACTGTTTAATGAAAAAAATAATATTCAGTACACAAGAGTACTACAGATATTAAAGATGAGATTGGAAGTCAATTTATTAAGAAACCCTTTAATATTGTCAAATCAGAACAATCTCGTTAGAATCTAGCATACTTAGTATATTCATTTTGTAAAATCTACATTCCTCTTCCTTTTCCAGGTCTCTCTCTAGAAGAGAATTCACTAAAGAGTCTGGCACTGTTTTCCACCTGATAAGAGACACTTACCATCTATTCTCTGAAGCTTGCTACCTGGAGGCTTCATTTGCGTAATAAAAACCTTGGTCTCCAGAACCCCTTATCATAATCCAGACACTCTTTTCTATTGATTCCAGGACTTTAGATAACTCTTTCAACCAGTTGCCAATGAGAAAATTTTTGAATCCACCTATGACCTGGAAGCACCTCCATGGCCAACTTCGAGTTCTCCCGCCTTTCCAGACCAAATCAATGTATACATGTATTGATTGATGTTTGCTTGTAACTTCTGTCCCCCTAAAATGTATAAAACCAAGCTATAACCCAACCACTTTGGGCACATGTTCTCAGGACCTTTTATGGCTGTGTCATGGGCCTTGGTCACTCATATTTGGCTCAGAATAAATCTCTTTATATTTTGTAGAGTTTGACTCTTTTTGTCAACACCATGGTGTATAACTCTGAATTGGCATCCAAACCAGGTCTTTATTCTAACTGGATCCATAGCAACAGAAGCTCTGCTGCTGTCATGCTATGTTCCCTGCCCATACACCTCTGGTTTTCAAAGGATCTGGTTTTTTTTGTTTTTTGTTTTTTGTTTTTTTTTTTTATTTTTTGGGATGGAGTTTTTTTACCCAGGCTGGAATACAATGGCATGATCTTGGCTCACTGCAACCCCTGCCTCCTGATTTCAAGTGATCCTCCCACCTCAGTCTCCTGAGTAGCTGGGATTACAGGCATGTGCCACCACACTCAGTTAATTTTGTATTTTTAGTAGAGACAGGGTTTCACCATGTTGGCCAGGCTGGTTTCGAACTCCTGACCTCAGGTGAGGATCTGTTGCTTTAAAAGACAAAAAACAAACAACCTTCACAACATACGTATATCTATTTCAATCTCTGAAATCACCTTTGTAAAAATTTTGACAGTGAGAAAATTATGACAGTGCAAGAGATCTCATCTAACCAATTCCATCTTGCTTTTAACCACCAAACTGTTCTTGGTAATTCCTGGGCATGGGCCAAGCTAACTTTGGGAGGAATTTAGTTTATTGTTTAAATGATAATAGCCCTTCCCCCAAACTAAACTGCCTTTGTAATACGATTGAAAGGCCCCACTAGTTTAGGAGGATGAGAGGGGCCTGAATTCTAAGATAATATATGTAAAGGATTACCAGCCATTATTCTGATTTCCAGCTGTTATTCCAGAGGTCTCAAAATTTGCAACTTCCCCAATTACTCCGGTAAATAACATCACTATTGTAGAACTAAGACGGGCCTTCTGAGATGTCTTTTCGGGCTTCTGCATTTCTGACAACCGGATGGCCCCACCTAAACCCATGATTCTTGACTCAACTGGTCCTGTGGCCCCCATCCAAAAGTGGACTTAGTGCCCAAGGACCATTTTTAACATCCCTAGCCAATCAGCAGCACCCATTCCCTAGCCCCCTGCCTGTCAAACTATCTTTGAAAAACCTTAGCCTCCAAATTTTCAAGGAGGCTGATTTGAGTAATAATAAAACCCTGTCTCCCATTTAGCCAGTTCTGTGTATTAAATTCTTTCTCTATTGTGAATTCTCTGTCTTGATAAATCAGCTGTGCCTGGGCACTGGGCAGGATCTCCAGTATTTGCACACTCCCTGACTTATCCCTAAAGATTAATTACCAAGACAGTTAACCAGACTTCATCAATTTATCTGCATATTCGAAGAACCAGAGAATATTTCTTTTCTTTCTTTTTTTCTTTTTGAGATGGAGTCTAGCTCTGTTGCCCAGGCTGAAGTGCGGTGGCATGATCTCAGCTCACTGCAAGCTCCACCTCCTGGGTTCACACCATTCTTCTGCCTCAGCCTCCCAAGTAGCTGGGACTACAGGCTCCCACCACCACACCTGGCTAATTTTTTGTATTTTTAGTAGAGATGGGATTTCACTGTGTTAGCCAGAATGGTCTCGATCTCCTGACCTCATGATCCGCCAGCCTCAGCCTCTCAAAGTGCTGGAATTACAGGCGTGAGCCACCGCGCCTGGCTCAACTAGAGAATATTTCATTTTGAAATTACTTCCGGGACCCTAGTCATTGTGAACTACATCATATGACAATAGAGAGCAATTTTATTCTGAGATTCTGAGTCCTGATAGGTTAAGTGATTAACATTAATAAGTTTGCAAATTTATTGAACAAAATTTACTGCTTTGATAAAACTGATGTTCACTGAGATATCTAAAAATGCATAAAATTATAAAATGGAAAAATACCAGCAGCAAATATTCATTGCCAGAGGAAAGAATATTTGTTCACAAATTACGTATATACACATTAAAAAGTCTCAGAAACACACAAAGATATTTGATTATGTTATGAAGGTTACAGTCTGATTTCACAAAGCTCACATTATGTTTTTCTCCTTTTACTGTATGTCTGGTGCTATCATTTTATTGGTCTCATGTTATAGGAATAAATGCTTTTCACATAAATTCTTGTAGAATACTTATTCCATTTTAAAATGGGGTGATATCATCCACGTGGTTTTCTACTTTTCACAGTTTTAACATCATAATGATAATTTCCTATCCCATCATTTCCAGGTAAAACACTTGTACCTTATACATTCTGATATACCCTGCTTACAAAAGACTTATTTTTACTGCCAACAATAAAGAAGAGCATGTAAATGTCACTCCTACCCCAATCATGGATACATTTGATGAAACTACCGAACTCTCATAGGTTTCTCTTAGTATTTCATAGAGATAGGAGGAGAATATTAGGTTAGGTTTCCAAAAATTGTCAAATTGGCATAGCTTCTACCTGAGTTGTTTGATAAAATAAATGCTACCACAATTAGAAGGCCATCATATCAAAGCCTGCATGAAAATACACAAGAAATCATGTGAATTCAGAACTGAGGAAGTTTTTTCCAATGTAACTACATCTGCCATGTAAAATTACTATAAATTTTGCCTTAACACTGTTGAAAAAATGTAATTGTGAAATATGCAGTGGACTGTTATTGCCAAGTTAACAAACCATTTTCAGCCTGTAGTGTGAGAAGAATTACAAATGATTGTTGAATTTATATTGTATGCAACCAATGGAACATTAGACAAAGCCACGAGTAGTAAAAATCCAACTTCAGAACAGAGGATGAGGGGAAGCCAGCTGCCAAGTGTGATAGGGTAATATTACCCAAAATAATGCTTTGGATTGCAGTACTGAGTATATTCTGCATTTTAACTCAGGTGTCTCTGAGTTATTTTTTGTAGATTTCCTCTCCTAGATATAATTTTAAAATATTGTATTTTCTCCTTGTGAGTCATTTAACACATACTAAACACGTAAGTGCTAATCAGTGTTAAGGTCCTGAAGATGCAGAAAACAAGGTACCTGTAGTTGACATTCTAGTGGTCATCGATTTTGACATGTTCATCATTAGGGTTTTGTAAATGTGTGAACAAACGCTTATTCTAAGGCCTTTCTCCTGAATGACAAGTGTAAATGTCAAAGTTCTGTTTGCAACCCTACTGCACAATTTACAAGAGTTCTCTACTACGATGGTCCCAGGATGATGGGAGTATGCTGAGCTATGGTGAAACACTGAATTTAACTTAAATGTTTTCTCTCCTGCAAGACTGGATGAAATATATCACCATTATGGCCTGTGATAAATTATGATATAAACATACACTGAAGTGCTTACCATATGCCGCTTTTTAATGTTTTGCTCCTTTGTGAACTCTCAGATGAGATTATAGACAACTGAGCAGAGACTTTATCACACACCTTATTACTAAGGATTCTGTCCAACGTGGACATTCTGGTGCAGTTGAGGACTTGAGGCCTGAGGTGGTATGAGGCCATACCACCCTAGTCACACTTCCATAGTTTTGCTCTTATGTCAAGCCCCTGAGGCATAAGATTTGAGTGATCTAGCAATCCCACTATTGAGTATATCCAAAGCAAAGGAAATCAGTATGTGGAACAGATATGTACACTCCCATGTTCATTGGAGCACTATTCTTCACAACAGTTAAGATATGGAACCCACCTGTGTGTCCATCAATAGATAAATGAAGAAAAGGTGGCATACACAATAGAATACACTTTGGGCATTAAAAAAAAACAAAATTGTGTCATTTATGGCAACACAGATGAGCTTTGGAGGACATTATGTTAAACAATATAAGCTAAGCAAAGTAAGATAAATACCAACTGTCCTCACACACATATGGAAGCTAAAAAAGTTGATTTCATAGAAGTAGTGAGTAAAACAGTAGTTCTAGAAGTAGGGAAGTGTAGGGGTTAGGTGAGATAGCCAAAGATTGGGTAACACGATACATAAGTACAGCTAGATAGGAGAAATACATTCTAGTGTTCTAAAGCACCAAAGGTGACTATAATCAACAATAATTTATTGTTTCTTTTCAAATCGCTAGAACAATGGATTTTGAATTTTCCCAAAACAAAGAAATGGTAAATGTTTAAGGTAATACACTAATTACATCAATTTGATCGTTACACATTATATACACATATTAAAATTTCATACCATATCTCATAAATGTGTACAACTTACATATCGTTTAAAAATAATGATAAAATTATATCCAGATTCAAGCGCCTCTTGTAGCGCTTCCCACAGTCCTCACATTTGGATGGGTTTTCTCCATTGTGGTCTCCTTGTTGGTCTTTACAGTATGACCAGTGTACAAGCCTCTTTCCACAATCCTCACATTTGAAGGGTTTTTTCCGGCAGTGGAGTTTCTTATGATTCAAAATACTTGAAGCCCGGCTAAAGCTCTTCCCACATTCCTTACAATTATAAGGTCTCTCTCCAGTGTGGACCCTCTGGTGCAAGTTAAGACCTGACTTACTAATGTAGCCCTTCCCACACTCCTCACATCTGTATGGTTTTTCTCCACTGTGGATTCGCTGATGAATCAAAAGATATGAGGACCATCTGAAACTCTTCCCACATTCTTTACAATTGTATGGTTTCTGTCCTGTGTGAATCATCTGATGCTTATGCAAATCTAGCCTATCAATGAAGGCTTTTCCACACTCCTCAGATTTGTACAGTTTCTCTGCTGTGTGGACCATGCAATGCCTATTAAGACTTGACCTAAGACAGAAGCTCTTACCACATATTTCACATTTGAATGGCTTCTCCCCAGTATGAATTCTCTGATGTTTCTGAAGCTGGAAATCGTGAATAAAGGCCCTCCCACATTTCTCACAAATATAAGGTTTCTCTCCTGTGTGTAATTTGCAATGAACTTGAAGTATTGCTCTACATCTAAAGCCTTTCCCACACTGCTCACATTTGAATGGTTTCTCTCCAGTGTAGACTCTCTCATGAGTTTGCAGACATGAGCTCTGACTGAATTCCTTATCACGCATGTCACACTTAGTGAGTTTCTCTCTCAAGTGAACTCTCTGGTGAATACGAAGAGCCGAGATGTAACAGAAGCTTTTTCCACACTCCTTGCATGTATGAGACTTCTCTCCTGAGTGTAACTGCTGAGGAAGATCAAAGATGGCAACATCACTGAAGGATTGTTTACACTTCCCATTCTGTGAAGGTTTCTGTCCTGTGTGAATTATAGATAGTCCTGCCTCAACCTGGGAGGGGACATCACCTTGTTCAAAGAAGTGAGAATTATTTACGATGGAGTCTTGAGACTGGGTTAAGTCACTTGCAGTTTGTTCCCAGATTTGCTGGCAAGGGCAGTCTTCATGTGGTCCTGCTTCCACAACAGTCTTGCCTCCTATAAGGACACAGAATGAAGAGATGTGGACAAATGAAGCCTTTGTTCACTGTTTTTAAGATTTCACACTTAGGATATGGCATTCAACTTTAATGAATGTTCAGTTTATGTTTTCCCCATGCATCTTGTTTTCTAGTTTGTATGTGACCAATTTATAACCCCACCATATCTCATAGGTAAAATCCTTGATGGAAGTAATAGACTCAATTAAAAAATTGATATAATATATACATTTAATTAGTTACAATTTCTAAGGAATTTTCTGGTCAAAAATCTTGCATGATAAATTGCATGATAAATTACTAAATGTTCATAGTGAAATATAAATCAAAGGGAAATTTAAGGAAAAGCAATAACAAAATCAATAGTTTATATGTCTGTGTTTATGTTATATATCCTTATATAGAAGTTACCCTAAGTAAAAAGAAGTCAGGACTTTGTCCTCAGCATCTGAGGGGTAATCTCTAGGATCCTGACATATCATGCTGGAGGAGAGTGACTTTTTTTGTTAGGGTGCCAATTCTGGATCATTCTGGATAGTGAAACAATATGATTTAGGGTTGTGGCTGGCCACTCATTTCCAGGGTGAGGGGTGGGAGACCATCCTCCCCATGTCAGAAAGAACAACAATGTTTGTTGTTTAATCTGTGAAGTCTGTTGTTACCAGCAACAGGGAATATAGTGGCCATGACAGGACAGAAAAACAGCAGGGAGGACAACATGGCTGGAAAAGATGGTGCAAGGGGGAGAGGACAGATGTAGTCAAGAGGCAGCAGGGGATGAAGAACAGACCACAGGGTCTTTAAAAGCCAATAAAGAGGTTGTAACTTTAATAACATTAAGAAACCATACAGGCTTTTGGACCAAGGAGTGGAAAACTGACTTGCACTTCCCAAGGATCATTTTGGCTGCTCTGAGGAAAATAGATGTCAGGGTGGAAGGGAGGGAACAGGAAAAACAGCCAGAAAGGGGTTATAATAAACCAGGAAAGAGATTGGGCAATTTAGATCAGGGTGATGTAAGTGGGCACAGTCAGAAGTAAAACAAATGGGCAAGTCATGTACAGGGATGCACAGTTGCTTGCTTCTTACCTGAACTTCCCTCTCTTTGGGTTGCTGTCTCCATCATCCAAAACTTTTCTTCCCTTAGGAAGTGGAAAGGGTGGAACGGTTGATGCCCTGTGAATGTGCAAAGTCATGTGCTTAATCCCAATTCATTCTAGGTAATATCAAGGTAAAATTTATTGGAAATTTAGGTTCCCACTGCATACACAAACTTGAATACTCTAGGATACAAAGCCACTCCTGGGGCCTGATGTTCCATTACAGAGGGTGCCTATGCTCACCCACTGACAGCAGGTTTGTGAAGTTCTCAAGCATCACATCTTGGTACAGCTTCCTCTGGGCAGGGTCCAGCAGCCCCAGCTCCTCCTCAGTGAAGAACACAGCCACATCCTTGAAGGTCACTGCCTCCTACAACATCAAGATACATAACCTCAATCCTATGACCATGGACTACTGGGGGAGGAGCAGCATCAAGCAGGCGGAGAAGAGAAGTGGAGGTCAACTTATAGATTGCCCACTCATTCTGTCTGTATCCTGACAATGATTTTCCTGAGCTCCACCAGAAGTGCAATCATGAAAAAGACCGCCTGTATTTTTACTTTGTGCACTTACTGAGTCTCCTTGTAAGTAACCCCTTAGGATTTCAAATGGTGCATCCTGGGCTACACCTATATAGGTTTCAATGAATCTTGCCAATTACCCCAGTTGCCCCAGCAACAATGAGCAATTCAGTCTCAGCTTTGTTTGTTGAGGCTTATTGTCCTCCTCTCTCAGACCCAAACCCTGAATGCTATCACTTTTCTTTAGTATTTGCCAAATTAACAGGTTTTAAGTAACTATTTTCAAAGTGGCCTTGGATCCATTCTCCCCACTTTCTTGTTTACAGGTCTCAAGAATAACCATAAATATGCTAGTTATGCAATGTCCTTCCTAGGGAAGATAACATCTTTTCATTTTTATTTTTTATTTTTATACCTTCTTTGGTCCTAGTCCAATCCATAAAAGATAGTATCTTGAGTTAGGGAGGAACTGCTTAGTAAGTAATGTTGCCCCTGAGGCATATAACCTGGGACAGGCTGCCTCTTGGGGTAGCTCAGCAATGGTGCAAATGGGGCATGTGCAGTCGTGACTCCACCCACTCTAGGCAGCTTTCTTGAGCCTTGGGGGACTGGCTCACAGTGGATCATAGGCTTCTGTTGCCCCTTGCTACCTATATGTAATAAATCTGCTTTATGTAATTTGTCATATATGAGTGTGCTCTCTCATGGTGGGCTTGCCAAGTCTGTAACTAGTGAACCTGTTCCATGGAATTGGTGCAGCCAGCAGGGTCCAATTTGACAGAACTCTGGACCAGCAAAGGGGGAGCACTTATATCCTGGGCAATTGGCCCAGTGCAGTGATGGCAGCCTGGGGGTACACGCTGGCTGGACAGCAGCTTGATGATTTATAAAGAAGACAGAATGATAAGCGGGACACAGGCCACCCCTCCACAGATGTGAGCTGGCTGCACGGACTGAGACAGAGAGGACAGAATATGGAAACACAGGAGCTTGCTGCATGATCCGCTGATTGAGACACCTTAAGTAATAGCTCATTCCTAGGGCCAGAGGACTCAGGAAGTGGGTGAAGTGGGTCAGAGGGTCCCTGGGGCATCTAAGAGGGATGGAGCCAACATATGTGATACAGGCCTCCACAGAAAGGGGGAATAACTATCTGATGGACAAGTATGAATAAAACCAGAAGGACATGTTATCTTGGTGTATAGCGTACTCTTGACACAAGGAACTCCATCATCAATACAAATAGAGTCACAAATTTACAAGGAACAGCACAAGAAGAAAAAACAGGCTAATTTGAGAGCAAAGAGGTAAAGAAGTGGGAGCACTGTTCTTTCCTACTAATTTTTCTACTCCATAATGTAATGGTAAAAAACAAAACAAAAACCAAAAACCAAATGCGAAGCCAACAAAAAAGAGACAAAGGAAGCAACTGGCACATAACAGGTCCCAAATGCCCTTTTCCTCCTTCTCTGTCTTGTCTTCCCAAGACAGAGAAAAATGTATGACAATATGAGCAATAAGATGGAATTTTAATAGCAAGAGAGGTGAGCTCTACTCACCTTGAACATGGTCATTTTTCCTCCTACTTTTTGAAATCTTCAGAGTCCTGAGTAATGGAGCATGAAGGAAGGTGGAATCGTGCCTGGAAAATGCCAGAAACAGTAAAAAGAGAGACATGAAAAGGTGGCTGGGGATGCTGTGTAGCAACATGGACATGTATTATGAATGATCACAGCAGCATTATTCATACTAACCCAAAAACTGTGCACAACCAGAATGCCTTCCTCTGGGTAAATGGATAGAAAAATCATGGCATATCCATATAATGGAATCTAATTTGGAAATTAAAAGGAATGAAGGACCAACTCATGCTACAACATGCATGAACCTTGGAAACATGCTAAGAGAAAGAAGCCAGTCACAAAAATCCATAGATTATATGATTCCATTTATATGAAATGTCTGAATAGGCAAATGTATACATAGAGGAAAAGTAAGCTAGTGGTTGCTCCAGATTTGGGGTGAGAATGAGGTTTAATTGTAAATGGGCACAGAGTCCAACTGGGGGACTCTGAATTATGATGATGGTTACACCACTTTACGAAGTTCCTAAAGATCACTGTACTCCTGAAATGAGTGAATGCTTTATGTAAAATATACATCAACAGAGTTGAAAAAAAATTGCTAATCCACATGTCATTTACCTTCATAAGACTGAATTCTGAGTCCATATTGTTGGCAGATTTATAGTTAAACAAACAAATGAATAAATGAAGAGAACCAGAAGCTCATCTTTAGTAGAATGCTCACTAATAATGTATCTTCCAATAAGAAACTTTAGTTTTTTAAAAAAAGGTAACTTTATAGCAGACAAATCTGAAAGACATCATCTTGGCCAAGTGCACATAGTTGAGATCACCAGTGAAGGGACAAACCAACATCATGTTATGTTGCAATAAAGAGGAAACTTCATCACTTGTGCGATATCCTTACCAACAATACACAATCTGAAACTAAACATGAAATATATCAAACTCCAAATGAACATCTTTCTCCAAAATAACTTTCTCCAAAATAACTTTCCTATTAAAAAAAAAAACATGTTTATAAAAGACAAAGACTGTGGAATCTTTCCAGACAAAAGAAACTATGGAATGTGACTACTAAAGACAATGCATAAACTTGACTTTGAATGGCATTGCAGGTGAAGGGTGGAGCAGGGGACAGTCATAAGGACTTAATTTTTTTATTTTTTGAGATGGAGTCTCGCTCTGTCACCCAGGCTAGAGTGCAGTGGTGTGATCACAGCTCACTGCAACCTCCACCTGCTGGGTTCAGGTGATTCTCTTGCCTCAGCCTCCCGAGTAGCAGGGATTACAGGCGTGTGCCACCACACCCGGCTGATTTTTATATTTTTAGTAGAGACAGGGTGTCACCATGTTGGCCAGGCTGGTCTCGAACTCCTGACGTCAGGTGATCCACCCCCTTAGCCTCCCAAAATGCTGGGATTATAGGCATGAGCCACCGTGCCTGGCATAGGACTTTAAATGAAAAATTGAACAAATTTAAATATGTAACTACAAATTAGATAACAGGATGTCAGGTAATATGCTATCCAACCACTATCTAATGAGTAATACTACAACTACTAGTAGTCTTTTAACAGATCTGATATGTAATAGATAACAATATTATTTAATATCTAATATTATCTAGCATGTTATGTGAAACCCTATACCATCCCTTCCTAAATACCTCTTACCAAAACACCCCACATTTACCATGGTATGTGGGCTTCCTTGCTGCAGAAAGCTATAGTCAGCTGTCTCTGGTTAGTTATGTTACTGGTGGTATTTGGCTGATGGTCATCAACAAAGCAACCAGGAAAAATGTAAACAATTGGCAAATTTGGATAGAGTATATGAGAACTCCTTATGCAATTTTTGCAACTTTTCTATAGCTTTTAAATGATATAAAAATGAAAATATTTTAAATATCAGGAAGTAGTTATAAGGATAATGGGAATAATAAAATTGAGCATGATATAATATGGCAGTTCACTAGTTTATTCTTTTTTTTTTTTTTTTGAGTCTCACTCTGTTGCCCAGGCTGGAGTGCAATGGCGTGATCTTGGCTCACTGCAACCTCCACCTCCCGGGTTTAAGCAATTCTCCTGCCTCAGCCTCTGGAGTAGCTGGGACTACAGGCATGTGCCACCACGCCCGGCTAATATTTGTATTTTTAGTAGAGATGGGGTTTCACTATGTTGGCCAGGCTGGCCTCAAACTCCTGACCTCAAATGATCCACCTGCCTTGGCCTCCCAAAATGCTGGAATTATAGGCATGAGCCACCGCAACCAGCCTCACTAGTTTATTTCTATTAGCAGTATTTAAAATTTTCTATAAAGACATACATTAAAATATAACAATTTTTAAAAATGTTTATAAACAAATAGAGAAATAGATGCAAAGAAAGACTAAAAAGAAATCAATTAGAAGCTTAACAATTACTATCTTTACATCTTGGATTCTTGGGTAATTTAAAAACTTTTTCTACTCCTATTTCTCGCATTTCAGACTGGTCCACAATGATACAGTTCCACAACAATACGAAATACTTGGAAAACGTGAAACAAAATAGTTGAGAAAAAATTTTTTAAATTCCTAGAAGTCCAAGCCCATGAGCCTTGCTCTCAAAGTTCTTTCAATGAAGTCCTAACTTGCTTTCCCCACGAGTCCAGCTAGTTCCTCTGACTCAATGAGAATGTATCCAAGAGATGATCAACTCAGGCTCTGACCTGGACTGCCTAGGTTCCAACCCCAGCTCCACCTCTCACTAGTTGGGTGCTATGCACCCTGTGTCTCACTCTCATCTTTAAAATTGGGAAAAGCAATACTTCACAGAGCCCTAGTGTGGCCTAAATTTATTTGTATAAAGCACTTAGAATGAAGCTACCAATTACGGCTTAATGATTATCAACACCCATGCCCAAGGACACACTCTCCGTTGAGGTGAACATCTCTGTAAAAGAAAAAAGTCAAGGACCAATCACATAGAGATTTGCCCTCAGTAGCCAAGAAGTCCCCTCCCTGTGGCTCTTTTAGAAAGGTCAGGCTGGGGAAGGCGAAAGTTGTGAAATACCCTGACTGCATCGCGGTCCCCCATAAAAGTTAAATGCTCCCCGCCCTTCGCGGAAGGCGGACGCAATTCTGGCTTTCCTAAAAAGAGGTCAGAAGGCCTCCTGGGATCATCCAGCGTCCTGCAGGGATTAGGGAGAAGGACCAGGGCCCCTGCAGGTGGAGCTATGACCCCACCCGGGGACCTGACCTCTTCGGGAAGTTAAAAAGAGACCACCAGTCACCAAGTGACAGGGGCTGCTTTAAGGTTCTCATTTGCGTTACCTCTTTCAGTTCCCAAAAACGATTCTACTAGGATGGTTCTAATGTCCCCATTACAAAAAATAGCAATGGAAAGTATAAGGACATTGAGTAACACTCCACGTCATACTGCGAGAAAGAGGTCGCACACGTAGGGTGGAGGGAGGCAGGCTGAGCGAGGTCAAAGTTCTGGAAACGCTCGGAGCAGGGCACAGAGGATCCCGCCAATTCCACCCCTCGGGATGCGAGCACAGCACTCCCATCCCAGAAAGCTTCGTGGACGGGAACAAAACCCCATTCCCCGCCCCACCAAACCTCCGCTCTCCGCCAAGGCTTCTTTTCCCTTGCTTGGATCATCGATCATCCGGTCGTTGCGACCCCAAGCAAAGGTGACAAGTTCAGAAGGGCCAGCCAGACGCAGAAATGGCTCAAACTACGCGGTTAAGCAGCAACCGCAGGCTCACAGACCGGAACCGCTCGCGCCTCCACAGAGCGTCTGGACTCCACTTCCCAGAATTCCCCGGTTCAACCGCCGGCGTCAAACCTCCACTCCATGAAGTTGATGGACTACAGTTCCCAGAATTCACTCGTCCACCCGCCTGCGCCAACCTGCCCGCGGCTCAGAATGTGTCTGGACTCCACTTCCTCCAATGCGAATGGAAAATGTCTATAAGCTCACTCTTCAGCAGGAAGTGTTGGACTCCGCGGTGGTCGTTGACTACACACACCGCAATGCCCACCGGAAACGTATCCCATATCTCTGAGCGCCTGGAGGGGAATGTGGACTGTGACCCTGTGAGTCGTCCTTCTCTCTCCCTGAGTCTTTGAACCAAAATATTGTATAGACAGGAATTCCTGAAGTCTAAACGCCTCCCACGATGACAGGAGTGTTATTGGGAAGAGAACAAACGAGGAGATCAAGTCTTCAAGGATTAGGATAACCTGACGATGGGAGGTTAAAACTAAGGGTTTAAAGGATGAGCCAGGTGGAATGGTTTGGCAGGGGCAATGAGGAGCATGAAAACACCAGCCGCTACTCCAGAAGCTGTGGGACCACTGGTTTGGCAGGAAAAGCCACCCCCATTTGAGATCACAACTACCAGTGGAGAAGCGGTGTCGTCATGGAATAGCTATCTTCCCATAAACTTTTCATGGTATTCGTATTTCTCCTTAGATGTAGAAACATCAAATTTCAGCGAATGTAGTGAATTGCTCAGTACCTCAGAGCAATAATGACTGATAAAGTGCTAGGCATTGATATCAGTCTTACATTGAGATTGTAAATGCAGTAAAACGGGAAGATTCTATAGGTGAGGGAGCATGTTTTATTAAGAGTTTCATCCTTGCCGAGTGCAGTGACTCAAACCTGTAACGCCAACCCTTTGGGAGGCCTGGGCAGGACGTTCCCTTGAGCTCAGGAACTGGAGACCCCCCAGGGCAATACAGGGAGACTTCATCTCTATAATTTTTTTTTTAAGTGGCCAGGCGTGGTGGCCTGATCTTGGGACTACAAGTCCCAAGTACTCAGGAGGCTGAGGTGGGAGGATTGCTGAAGCCCAGGAGTTTGAGTGAGGCTGCAGTGAGCTATGAGGCCACCACTGCACTCCAGCCTAGGCAACAGATACCTCAATAATTAAAAAAATTTTTTCTTAAGTTTCTTCCTATTTCTTGGTGAAACATAATTTCTTTATTATAGTTAGCAATTTAAAAACTGGCATTGGTTTAAAAAATAATAGTATAAAGCTAAATTAGGAAACAATTCATCTAAAAACCTGTTCTTTTGAAGGTAACCTGATTTTTTCTCCCTATAAACATACATTGGCCTATAAATCAGTATTCTTCTTTTAAAAAAATGGAGTCTGCTGTTTTTTATCTATTTTTCTAAACTAAAAACTTTTCATAATTTTGTTTAGACACAAAAACAAGGTGACTGTGCCAACCTTATGATGCCAAACATCCAGTCTCTGAAAATTGAGTGATCACTATTCATAAGCCAGTTATAGCTGTATCCTTGATCTACTCTGCCTTCCCGAAAGATAAAATGTATTGACACACTCAATCTTAGCATGCAGGGAACTGAGCCTAGGGGCACTTGGTATCAAAGGTCCCTTCTGCTCCCCAGGTCCTTGCACTCTGGGTCTGTGATGGGAGAAGCAGCCTCTATGATCTCTGAGATGCCTTTGGGGTCATTCTTCTAGTGTTTTGGACAGCAGGTCGTGCCTTCAGTTGACATGACCAATCCAAACTAATCTCATAAATTGATTGCTTATCTCTATCCTTGTTTTATCCAGAACAGGCTTTCTAATTTTTTTCCAAAGTAGATAGGCTGTGAATTTTTTAAATTCTTAGTTCTGTTTCCCTTTTAATTAATAATTCTGACTTTCTGTGGGGTTCCTCCCACAACACATAGGAATTCTGGGAGATGCAATTCAAGCTGAGATTTGGGTGGGGACACATCCAAACCATGTCACTGATGACACTAACAAAAACAACAGGGAAAGGACTCCCTATTCAATAAGTGCTGCTGGGATAACTGGCTAGCCATATGCAGAAGATTGAAACTGGTCCCCTTCCTTACACCATATACAAACATCCAGCTGGGTGCTGTGGCTCACCTCTGTAAAAATTGGTAATAATGTCCCCACTTTTGTTTCTGATTTTAGTTACTTGAGTCTTTATTTTTTAGTCAGTCCTGCTAAAGTTTTCACAATTTTGTTAGTCTTTCAGAATAAGCAACTCTTGGTTTGGTTGATTTTCTTTGTATTCTTCTTCTCTATTTTATTTATTAATACTTTAATCTTTATTATTTCCCTCCTAATCACTTTCTGTAAGATTCTCTTTCTCGTTCATGAAAATAAAATTAGGCTATGGATGTCAGTTCTCCTTTTTTAATATAAGCATTTGTAGGTATAAATTTCCCTCCTTCTACTGCTTTTGCCTCATTCCAAAAGTTTGGGCCATTGTTTTCATTTTCAGTTGTCTCCAGGTATTTCCTAATTTCACTCCTGATTTACTCTGACATATTATTTAAGAGTGTGTTGCATGCACACGTATGTTTATTGAGGCACTATTCACAATAGTAAAGACTTGGAACCAACCCAAATGTTCATCGATGATAGACTACATTAAGAAAATGTGGCACATATACACCATGGAATACTATGTAGCCATAAGAAAGAATGAGTTCATGTCCTTTGTAGGGACATGGATGAAGCTGGAAACCATCATTCTGAGCAAACTATTGCAAGGACAGAAAACCAAACACCGCATGTTCTCACTCATAGGTGGGAATTGAACAATGAGAACACTTGGACACAGGATGGGGAACATCACACACCGGAGCCTGTTGTAGGGTGTGGGGAGAGGGGAGGGATAGCATTAGGAGATATATGTAATGTAAATGACGAGTTAATGGGTACAGCACACCAACATGGCACATGTATACGTATGCAACAAATCTGCACGTTGTTCACACGTACCCTAGAACTTAAAGTATGAAAAAAAAAGAGTGTGTTGTTTAGTTTCCACATACTTGTGAATTTTCCACTTTTCATGATGTGATTGAATTTCAGTTTTTGCGATCTAGATTATAATTGGAAAAGACTTTTATGGTATTAGACTTTTGAAATTATTAAGATGTTTTATTGAATTTATTAAAATGTTTTCAGCCTGTAAGAAAAAATACAAATTATTGTTGAATTTATATTGTATTCAACCAATGGAACACTAAACAAAGCCACAAATACTAAGAATGCAACTTCTGAATAGAGGAGGAGGGGAAGACAGGAACCAAGTGGGAACAGGTATTATCAAAATAATGCTGTGAACTGCAGTATTTAGTGTACTCTGCATTTCAACTCAGGTGTCCCTGAATTATTTGTATATTTCCTCTCTTAGATACAATTTTAAAACATCATGTTTGCTCCTTTTGATTCATTTAACACACAGTGAACACAAAATGATAATCAGTGTTAAAAGTTGTGAAGATACAGCAGAAAACACATGTCGCTGACATTCTAGTGGTAATCAACTTTGATATGTTCATGATTAGAGTTTTGTAAATGCATGAATGAACTCTTGTTCTAAGGCCGGCCTCCTGAATTACTGTAACTGTCAAACTTTTGTTTGAAGCCCTACTGCACAACTTAACAAGGGTTCTCCACTATGACAGTCCCAGGACCACTGGGGTATGCTGAGCTATGGCTGAAAAAGGTTTTAACTTAAATGTTTTTTCTCCTACAGGACTGGATGAAATGTATCATCAGCATGGATTCTGTGATAATTTACAAGATACGAACTCAAAGGGAACTGCTTTCTATGTGCCTTAGATTTTAATGTTTCTCCCCTTTGTGAATGCTTAGGTGAGATTGTAGTCATGAAAACTGAGTAAAAACTTTATTACATACATTACTGAGGCTTCTCGCCAATGTGGACACTCTAAAGTTGAAGACTTGAGGCCTGAATGAAGCACATACCACCCTCCCCATACTTCTATAGTTTCTCTCCCATGTGGAGCTTCTGAAGCCTAATAAATTCAAGTGATCTAGCAATTCCACTATTGGTATATCCAAATGAAAGGAAATCAGTATGTCGAGGAGGTATCTGCACTCCCAGGTTCATTGTAGCACTACTCACAAAAGCCAGGATATGGAATCCACCTAAGTGTCTATCAATACATGAATGAAGAAAAGGTGGCATATATACACAATGGAATCCTCTTTAGACATAACAAGGAAACAAAATTTTATCATTTGTGGCAACATGGATGAGTTTTCAAGGACATCGTTAAGTCATATAAGCCAAGCAAAGAAAGAGAAATACTGACCTCACTCATATGGAAGTTAAAAAAAGCTGAGTTCATAGTAGAGAGTAGAACAGTGGGTGTAGAGGCAAGGAAGTGTAGGAGGTAGGTGAGATGGCCAAAGGCTGGCTAACAGATACAAAAGAGGTAGAGAGGAAGAATTTATACTGTTCTGCAGCACTAAAGGTGACTATCATCAACAATTATTTACAAATTGCTAATAATGTGTTGTAGTCTCACAAATGCACCACACTGTAGCAGTCTCTCTTGTGATGTATCACTCGGAGCTCTTAATCTCATGTCCAAGATGATTAAGAAGCACGGACACAAGGGTGAAATTGGAGTGAAAGTTTAAAAAGTGAAAGAAAAAAAGCTCTCCACAATGGAGATGGGGACCCAAATAAGTTGCCCACTACGAGGCTGGGATCTGGGGTTTTTATGGACTGAGAAGGGGAAGGAATGCGCTTAGCCTGCGGGCTGTCCTGGAGAAAGTGTGATTCAGCTTGGTCTGGGACCTTGGCCTGGGACCAATCAGGAACTGAAGTGATGATTCATAAGGGCTATTCAGCTTGACCGGGGACCAATCAGGAGCTGAAGTGATGATTCATAACGGCTATTCAGCTTGG